AATGGCTCACGTGGACTATCTGAGTCGAAACCCACCAGAGGAAGAATCTGCTCTGAAGGTGTTCGCTTTGAAAACTATAAACGTGAGTAGACTATCAGATGTCAAAACTTTGCGAAGTTTTCAGGAGCAAGACACATTTTGTTTTGAAATCCTGAATAATCCAGAAATAAATCCCAACTTTATTGTAAAAAATAATGTCGTTGTGACCAAGTCAAAACCCCATAAGTGTTTTGTTCCCATTGAAGCACGCCTTTTGACAATGAAACTATATCATGATGAATCATCACACATTGGTTTCGACAAATGTATAGCCAAATTACGGGAGGATTTATTTTGGCCAAAAATGGGCAAATGTTTGAAAAAGTACATTAGAAACTGTCGAGCATGTGTACAAGGGATCACATACCGGTCGCAGAGTAGGATGGTGGCAGCATGGCGAAAAACCTGATGATATCCTCCACACTTGGCACATTGATCATGCAGGACCTTTGATAAAATCAAATGGATGCACGCACATCTTGGTAATAATTGATGCCTTCTCTAAATATTGCCGTCTCCAACCAATCCCAAAGAAAACCTCTGAAGATAGCATCCGTGCTTTGTTACCAGTTTATCAAGAGCTGGGGACCCCGAAACGCATAATAGCTGACAGAGCAGCCGCATTCACATCGGTGACATTCCAGAATTTCCTTAGTGAGCAAGGAGTTCAGTTACATCATATAGCGACTGGAATGCCTCGAGGAAATGGACAAGTAGAGCGTGTTATGCGCACATGTTTCAATTTACTGCAAGCTACACTTATGAGTGAAAATGAGGAGCAGTGGACAACGATATATTGCCAGCTATAGAAGAGGATCTAAATAACACAGTCCATTCGACAACTGGTTACGCACCTGCAGTACTCCAACTGGGAAACAACCCTAGACTGTCAGCGACGCAACAATTTTTAGGAGATGCGCCGGTAGCGGATAACTTCATTGATAGCGACGAAGCTGTAGGCCAGGCTCGGATTCGTATTGAAGATGAAGGAAAAAAGAACGCTCAACGGTTTAAAGCAGCTCGCTAGCGGACAAGTTTATTTGACATTGGGGATCTTGTGGCTGTCAAAGACTCCCAGTTAGCTGGAGGCGGAAAATTGAAACCGAAGTTTAAAGGACCCTTCACTGTCCGAAGCGTCCTTCCTAACGACAGATATTTGCTAGGCGGAAAAGGACGACGTACTACAGTAGCCGCTCATGAGCAACTACGACGTTGGCCCTCCCAGAACTGACATAATGAAAGTGTACGTAGAATACAATACTCGTATCATGAATCACACTTTCAGATAAGGTCTGGCTTTTAGCAGCAACACAAAATGGTTTGGTGCTAATCGCAACAGAACAATTCTGTGTATAAAATGTTGATGAATTTAAAAAAAAAATATTTCAAGAGTTTCATATGTCTGACATTTGGCAGCATCTGAATGCGTACGAAAGATTAAATAACAGAGAAGATAGTAAAAGGAATAAGTCATCCTTTTTTTGATTGTTTTCTCGTATTTGTGTTTGAATTTTGTTACGATCAGATAAGATCTGGCTTTCGACAGCATCAGAAAGGTCTGGCTGTTGATCGCAACAGAAAATTTCTGACCGTCAAAATAAGAAAAAAAATATAAATTAAAATAAGAGTGGTGTTGTCACTTTCAGATAAGGTCTGGCTTTTAGTGGTAGCAGAAAGGTCTGACTCTAATTGCAACAGAAAATTTCTGATTGTGTACAAAGTACTGATGAAATTTAATTGAAAATGTTTTAACACATTCAAATTAGGTCTGACATTTGGCAGCATCTAATTATATATAAAAGATGAAAATAAAAATGATACAGATGTTTGTATTATTTCTGAGGATTGTTACGATCAGATAAGGTCTGGCTTTTGACAGCAACAGAAAATGTCTGGCTGTGAATAGCAACAGAAAATTTCTGATCGTGTGAAAAGAAAAGTAATAAAATGAGTTCTAAAAAAAAAATGGTGATAATAATTACGGAAATATGTCACATTCAGTTGAGGTTTGGCATTTAACGGCACCAGAAAAACCTGGATGTTAAACGCTGTTACTGCATAAAAAAAATAATATTATGTCTGGTCTCAATTGTGAGATAATAAAATTGTCATGCACAAATTTTGGCTTGGTGTTTGTTATTCCAGGTGTGGTGCGTGGACGCTCCACTTATCTCGGATGGCCGTGTTAGCGGCGCCGCTGTGACTACCCATAATTCCCTCTCAAAAGGGTGAAATGATATCGTTATCTTCTGCGACGGAAGGAGAAGCACGAGGGGTCCGGGGACGACTACTACCTGCGGTCCGTCGCAGGTAGTAGCGAAGATGACGACAGTCACGTACCTACAGCCAAACAAATTGTGCCTAAATACGAAGTAAATGGTGGTACTCGGAATAAAGTATTGATTGGGGATAGACGTGTCTTTTTTTGGGGTAAAAGCCAAATCAAATCTACCCCGTTTCTTACATATATATATATATATATATATATATATATATATATATACAATGCTAAAGAACCGAGGATACCTTGTTTGAGTATGATAAGCGCAATCTGAAATATTTTCCAAATATTACCCACATACAAGTACTGAACTATACTGTCTACCCTCAAGTAGTCGAACGAGTAACTAGTCACTTAAGAAGTTGGTGTGTTGTTTCATTAGGCAAATACGGAGAAATCCATATACCACTGCCATCGCAATGTGTAGCGTGCAAGACGTATGTTAGAAAGAGATAGAAGCAACACGTTGCCTAGCCACCCGAGTGACTACGAGGTCATGGACGCAGATGCGGCTTGCCACATTGCCATCGGCGCGCTCTTTCTAACATACGTAGGCGTGCATTTCAAGCTTCTCTCTGGTACACATTACCCCGTCAGTGATATTTGGATTATGGATTTCGCTGTTTAAGTTTGTAAGCAATAAATCTTGACAAGAACATATCACCAGGGAAGATCATAAGCAGGGGGCTGAGGGGGAGACTGGAGGCTTAGGGTAAAATCGACTTAATATTATTGGTAGACAAAAAAATAATTTATCGGATTTTGTAAACAAAAATGTAGGTTCAAAAAACCGCCGAAATCAACCCTCTGATGCAAAGAATGCATTTTTAATGACCATGACATTAATGTAAGACACAGACATTACGAAAATATAGTGAATATGCTCAGCAATTTTTCTAAATTGAGTTGCAATATGAGTATAGCGTTACATTTTTTGCATTGTCATACTGACTTCCTGAGAATATTAGTGCGGTAAATGAATGCGAGACTCAAACATGACAGCAGACTTGGATGTTGAAGAGAGGTGAACTGCAGAGAAACCATACAAGAAATAGTTTGAATAGGAAATTGAAGGAGTACAAAAAAATATACTATAATTCTTTTTAGTTTGCATAGTTTCTTTTGCATTATTTTTAAAGATTAAAAAATGATTTTACATTCAATAATGTTTTCCTTAACAATTGAAGGGTACCGGGGAATAACGACAATACGAGTAGTCCATCCGGACTGATTTTGAGATAATCGGTAATTAAGATTTACTTACTTGTTGGAAAGTAAAATTGATGAGAAATAAGTCGTAAAGAACATCTTTGCTAAACAGTGTGTTTATTGGTAAAATAGATTTTACAAAATGAACTGTTACTCAAAACTAGTAAAGTAACAAACAAAAGATGATGTGCAACTCTGGACTCGTGCCACTTTTCCCCGGCTTTAAGTGTCTATTGGCGGGTCATCGACATATTCATCACTGCTATCTTCTGGATGATCAAGAGATATTAACTGTTAATAAAATGCCCTGTAAACTGCTCTCTCTAAAAATTTGGTCAGATCTTGCAGATCCTTCCATTTCTTACTTTGGGCCCTGGTAAAGTTTTATCAATGTTTCCACTTCTCGTTTTTCTTGATCTTTTGCGTCTTTTTTAGATTCTTCCGAATTACCTTATCAAATTTAGAACTAGTATATAGACCAATCTATGTCGATTTGTGAAAAACTACGCGAGGATTCTGTTAACAAAACTTGAGCATCCTGACTGGTCGGGTTGGAAAGCGGCACTTCGTTGGATAAAACTGCGATAAAAAAGTACTAAAATCTTGAAAATCAAAATTTTTGCCACAATCAATGACTTCAAATGGTGTAAGTTTCACACGGCAATTTTTCAATTCATCTCTCCGGTCATCCGGTACCTCAGTGTATGCTCTTTGGTTCACGAGACTCATATCTCTATCACACTCGAAGGTATGAATGCCCCCTGATCGGGAATATTACTTTCACAGTAGTAAAAGACTCCTTGTCTTAATGTTTTTTGCGTTTTTTTCGTTTCTCTGTTTGATGGGCCTGGTTCATTTTCACTTGAAACTGAATAGTCAATGTCCATTATACACAAAACCCGTATTATAAACTAAATTAGCGAATATAGTAAATATTCAAAATATCAGCGTATAAAACACACGTGGAGTGGACTCTTAATAGTAAACCAATGGCTAATGCAATAACGAAGGGGCTCATGCCATTCTTCCCCGGCACAGGGAATCTTATAGCTGTTGTTTTGTGAACCTAAGTCCTTTTTACAATTTAAGAAGCTGATTACAAGATAGCATCAGGAAAATACCACCAAAATAAACTGAAAGCTCAATTTAGCCAAATAATGGACTAATGCCGTTTTCCCCGGTACCCTTCAATTGGTAAAAGTTCTCTTATATGCATGTCTTCAATAAAAAGAAATCTCGACGTTCTAGAAAAGAAACAAAGATGTATTTTAATTTCACATACTTAGGAATTAAAAAAATAACCGTGGGAAGGGGAAATAAAATGTTAAGCTCCGCAGGCCTGTGTAACAAAAAAAAAGACAATGACCACAAAAATCTCTTAACAAACCGTATTTGCATTCGCATATTTTTTCTTAGCTAACCAATCACCACATCGTGTCTGGAGAAGTAATGTAATTCGTCAGATCTCCGACTAACAAACATCGGATAAAAACGAATCCAGTGGACGACTGACCCAGGAAAAGGATATACAAAAGTAAAGTACACTAGACATCTTACCAGGTAGGGGCACTTCTAGATCAATCTTAATATCAAAATCGTGCGCCGAGAAGAGATCATCCTGCGAGACTTGCGCCGGTTGGGCTGACTTTTTTGCGACTTCCCTTTGCGTCGGAGCCTCTTCTTTCTTCTGTTCCACTGGTGTACTAGCAGCTAAAGCCTCTCTAGCCTCTTTCTCGCCAGCTTTGAAGTTCATCCTTGGCTTTGTGGAACGTCTCGTGAACGGGTCATCAGCCTACAACCATTTTCAAACTTAAGATTGAACAAATTGCATAGAAAATTAAATATACAAATCATTCAAATATAAAAACGAGTCGGCCATCCAAGAAAGAACATCTTTCACTAGTCACTATAGCAAACCAGTACTTTAAATACATGAAAGACTAATATTCCTTCAAGTCTAACTGTAAGTTCAATCAACTCACCAAGTATCAAACTAAGCGAAAGTTTAAAATGTTTTTCACGAGTATCCATTAAAACTGGATCAGAGCGCATTTAGAATTTCGTAATGAGTTCAAGATCCTTGGCGTCATTTTTGATAGAAATTGAGATTCAAGAGTCAGTTTAACACATGAAAGTATCTGTTTTTTAATTCTTTTAAGCTGTTAATCGTTTCGTTATCAGTGAATTGTCTATTATCGTAGAGTAAGGCCCAATTTCACCAACAACAGTCCGTTATTCTCCACCTATAGGGTAACAGACCGTCAGATACAGCGAATGAGCTTCAAGTTCCAATCAGCAAATTTTAGCAACCAATAGCTATGAAATGATTAAAACAAAATACTGTCAAAGTATGAGATGACAACTTGTCATTGAAACATCACCAGCTTATTGAATATTAAGAAATTACATATAATTCAGTAAAGATTTGAAGAAATGTTTGATTTTTGAATTAAATTCATGTTTTAATTTCTATTGTTGATTTTTTATTCATGTTTATATTATTTTCTTCAATTGATATGTGATACTGCAGATAGCCATTAAGCACCTACTTGATGACAGGATCTACCAAAAGATATTGCTCGTTTCCAAACATTCATTCATTTACTTGCCGTTCATCAGAACCATTATGGCACCTTAGATTGATATTCCCACAAAACCATTCAGGTTTTATGATATCCATAAAGTTGAATATTTTCGTTGTTCAGGAACTGAACAAACATCCACACTATATTCACAGCGATTAATAAATTTCCAAATATACGCCTTAAAGCTACCATCAAACCTAAAACCTGCAAAAAAAAACTACAAATTTGCCATATTTTTCTTTTTTCACGAGTACACATTCTAGGTTATATTTATATTAGACATTATTTGAATACAGCTGATTATTGCATTCCAAGGAGTGACACATGTGTGGGATCTGTCAACTCTTGGTACCAGTCACAAAACATATTATACTCTGAAGGTTTAATTCCATGCTATTAAATGACAACAAGGTGACTTGTGTGGTTATCAGCGGCCATTTTGTGAGGGTGCGACAGGGTTGCCAGATTGTGCATTAATATCCCGTTTCACCCTACTGGTGGAGTAAGTTCCGCCAACTGTGGAAATATACTATCCTTTATAAGACTATTCGTGACATTTTTCCCAAAATCATTGCACAACACTTGAAAAAATGCAAATGAAAATTTAAAATTATTTCCTTGACGCCGCAATATAGCTCCGTCGGTACCTTAGGTTATACATCTTGACAGTAGGGATGTTCGATACGATCCTATATTTAGAAGTATCAATACATTTCACGAGTATCGTCATCTTTCGACCCGGACTGTGTCAGAAAGAGTGACTGCCATTTGGCTGCGACATTACCCTGCCAAATCAGACATATCTTTCATCATTTTCAAATAAATTGTACAAAATCTTCAAATTTGTGAAGTTAGTGAGTTTCACTTCATACGTTGTTACCAGACATGCCCAAATCATCAGTTGCTGCCGTGATATTCATTCCGACCACTGCATCCCCACGGCTAGGCGACCTGAATGTTAAATTTTGGGCACTGATTGCAACGGTTAGATGATACCAAAAATATTTTCATACATAGGAGATCTTTCCCATTCCGGATCGAACAATCTACCAAAGATGCTTATAATCATGATACCTAGTAAAATTTCACGAAAAAATTCAAAACCAGCAAATGTAAAAGATTCATTTCGCATCCTCCACCACGGGACGTGATCGTCGTTAGACTTGGCAACCCTGAGAGTGTCAGATAGATATATCCCCGCCAGTCAAAAAAGAAAAATAGACAAACAATAAACATTACTAGTTTTTTTGATTTTTGGACTTAAAGCCATTATCCGTGAAACATTTTTCATATTTTTTTATCTATGTCCATAGTAATTGCATTATGCATCAGGGAGATGTAGGGATTGACACGTCTTACAAATATTATCTGTGTTTTAGGATGTAGAGGACATAATGTTTTTATTGCTTTGAAGAAATTCATTATCCCATAAATTAATAAATGATTACTATTATGACGTAAAGGAAGATGAGGGATTGGATGGAATGTATTTTATATTCTATTTTCTTGCAAAATACAGACAAATCCACACTATTCAACATGTATGTAATGATAACTTTCAGAATATTGAAGTTGGTAAATTCAAGAGTGCCATGCATTAACAAACGTCCAAATCTGGTGCCAAATTTAACAGCTAGAAAATCGACCTATTATTTGCCGCATTCCCATTCGCTGAGGGGGATAACGGATTGTGAAATGTAAACCTATAACATATATCAAAATACCTGAAAGTTGTCCTGTTTTTTCTGTACAAAAGCATCATGTTGGAATCAAAAAGTGGTCTTGTTTATAATACAGTCGAATTTTCACGATTTTATTCAATATTTCAATAGAAATCACTAATATTCAGAGACCTTTGACAGCTTCCGTCAAATTGCATTTCGATAAGGTATTTTCCCATTGGTCCATAATATTAATGTTGGTGAAATTGGCCCTAAATGTATTTTAATTTCAGTTTTTATTCGAGTTTCAACGTATGGATAATTTCTTTTTAAGATTTTAACCATTTGTCCTCACTGCTCGATGTTGATTGTGTTTATATATTATGTATTTGAAACAGATTCTCCTACCGTTTTTCTTTGTATCAGCTTCAATGATTTCTACCGGCTAGACGAACATTTTTTATGATAAAAGTCGCTGTATATGTATATATTTTTACCGTTACAGATTTAACACATTCCGATTATTGTGATTTAACCTGTTAAAATGTTTTTTAATTGTAATGTCCTTGTTTATTTTATATTTATAAGTATTTTTCCGGCATGTTTGCTCAAACGCATATATGACCTTCAGATTCATATTGACAAGTCTTATATCATGTAACATGATCTAATAGGACAATAAACTATCTATCTATTTATCTCTATCTATGTTTCTGGCATATTACGAAAATCTTTTGTGAAATTACGCGTTTTATATGCAAATAGACGTGTTCTGGCATCCGCATTACAAAAAACCAACTGAAACACTTGTTTTATCAATTATTAATTACTGTAATATTCTTTATCCGCCTTGGTTCGATCATCTCACCAAAAGGCGTTTGCAAGTAGTGCAAAACAACTATGTCAGATTCACATGTGGTTCAGGAAAATACAAAAATGCTTACAACATGCTTGGGTCGATGAATCTGGAACCCGACTACTTTTCATTATTTGATCTTTTATAATAAAGTGCTCCAAATTGGTAAGAGAACAATTAATTTTATTTAGTGAAATACACAACAAAACCCAGATATACATTGAATATTAGAATACCCCATCATTGCACCTTGCTTTTCCAATCCTCATTTTCCTATAATGCTGCCAGTCTCTAAAAAAGTATTTCTGTTTATGATAAAATCATGAAATTTATCATGTTTCAGTAAGCATAATGGTTGTACTTACAGAGCCCTGCATTATAATTTTCCATTTGTTTGTTCACTTTTGCCTGTGCGTTTATAGGCATTTAAATTAATGTTGTTTGATATAATTGGTTTGAATACTGATGTACGAAAATGCAACAGAAAAACTTAAATGTTTTTATATCTTTTACCAACTTGATTTCGTATTCATATGGTTTATTGTAAGAAAAGTTTTACCTAAACATTGCCATAACGAATCACGCTTTTGTAGCTATGTTAATAAAGGCGATATTACCGATATTACTGTAATTATTATTGTAAAATACCCCATATCGACAAGTGACACATAATTCTGACGATCTGCTAACGATAGATCTATAAGCAGAGTCGTATTTTGTTGTGGTCCTTTGTACGCTATGGATTAATATTTACTAATAGTAGTAGATAATGGTAGAGAAGACCATATTAATTATCAGGTCTCCCACAGACCGCAGACTTTCTATAGGACGATAGTTTAGACGGGTTAGGCTGCTAGTGCGCACACCGAGTCAACTAAACAGTTTAGTTAGTGAAGAGTGTTTGTATCTGACTGTTGAAGTAAGCGGCCGCACAATGAAAATAGATACTGTAGCAAGAATTAATAGTACTGTTGGCTCCATCTGTTGGGGACCGCGTCAGACTCTCCTACTTGCCAGAGCTTCATGGCCAATCTCTGTATTTACGCGGATCGCGACCGCACATGCTGTTTTAATCCACGCCCAAAAGAACCCAGAAAAACGCTACATTGGTTTCAGAAGTGGGATGATCAGTGAAGGAAGAATGGCGCGATTGGTTGATTTGAAAATTGCCGATTTAAAAAGAGAGCTGTGGGAAGGAGAGTGCGATATGGCTGGAAAGCTAGCAGAATTACAGGAGCGGCTTCGTCAAGCACTGATTGAGGAAGGCGAGGACCCGGATATTTTTATTTTTACCGGTGCGGGGGTATTGGTTTAATGCTGCAAAACCTTTCGACGAAGACCACCGATCTTTTAGAAAACTCAGCCAAGTTAGAAAGAAGGCTCGTGGAAAATTGTACCAACCTAGAAGGAAAGTTCGTGGAAGATTGTGCCAACCTAGAAGGAAAACTCTTGGAAAGTACAGCCAAATTAGAAGAGAAGTTTTTGAAAGATACTGCCAATTTAAAAAAATAATTGGAAGATAAAATTATGGAAAAATCTTGCGAGATGGAAAAACGAATTTTAGAAACTTTTAGGACCGAATTCAAGAAGTGCAAGGCAAGTTTGCCGCTTTAGACGTCAAGACCATCGACGAACGACAGCGTGGACTTCCGTTGGAAAAATCAAGTGAGGTTGGAGCTTCTGTTGGTTC